AGGAACTCGCCCATAAAATAGGGAAGGGGAAAAGAGATAAACTATAGGAGTGAGAAGATTAGAACAAATAATAACAGGAAGTTCAGATCAGGAGCTCCAACATCCAATTAGTCAGAATTCAAGAAAATAATACAAAATTTAAAACCCTAGAAAACAAAGGAGAAGCAATTGTCAAAGGAATAATTGAAAATTCAAGATTAAAAGTGCCCAGGCCAGTGAATAAAAATTTCCATTATGAAATTTTAGAACCTCAAGGGTAAAGGAAAGATCGTAGCACTTTGAGAAGAAAGAGCTACCCATCAAAAGCAGAAATCAGAATAGGGCCACACCGCTGGGTGCCAGTGAACGCTGGAAGGTAGAGCAACAATGACTTCAAAATTCTAAGGGAAGCCTATTTTCAGCCTAGACTTTTATCTCTGACCATTCACATGCGAAAATGGAAAAGTGACATTTTCCATGACAGACAGAAGAGGATGGTTTGGCATCCAGACGATCGGGACCAGCAGCTGGGAGCAGAGAAGGCACGTCCCCGCACCGGAGCTGTGATCCAGGCTGGAGAGGGTGCATCCAGGAGGACGGTGAACAGGAGTCTCCAAGACAAGACATAACATAAGGAGCTGGAAAAAAATGCCTATAAGTAGAAAGCTCAATAAAGAATTTCTTTAAAATAATGGCAAAAACCTAGAAAATAAAGCAAACAGCCCAGCCAGAGCGGCTCAGTGGTTGAATGCCAACTGAATGAACCAGGAGGTCATAGTTTGATTCCTGGTCAGAGCATATGCCCACGTTGCAGGCTCGATCGCCAGTGTGTAAGAGGCAGCCGATCGATGATTCTCTCTCATCATTGATGTTTCTATTTCTCTTTCCCTCTCCCTTCCTCTCTGAAATCAATAAAAATATATTTTTTAAAAAAGAAAAGAAAGCAAACAAACAAACAAAAATAGACTGTAGTGAGTTGAATAGTGGCCCCAAGACATATGTCTGCATCCTAACCATGAGAAGCGGTGGATATGACCTCATTTACAGATGTAATTAAGTTAAGGATTTTGAGATGAGATCATCCTGGATTATCCTAGTTCAGTGATGGCGAACCTATGACACCTGTGTCAGAGGTGACACGCGAACTCATTTTTTTGGTTGATTTTTCTTTGTTAAATGGCATTTAAATATATAAAATAAATATCAAAAATACAAATCTTTGTTTTACTATGATTGCAAATGTCAAAAAATTTCTATATGTGACATGGCACCAGAGTTAAGTTAGGGTTTTTCAAAATGCTGACACGCCGAGCTCAAAAGGTTCGCCATCACTGTAGTTGTACCTATTCCCAATGGTAAGTTGTCCTTAGAAGATACACAGGAGGAGAGACAAGAGGAGGAGAAGGCCATGTGAAGACAGAGGCAGGGATTGGAGAGATGTGGCCACAAGCCAAGGAATGTGTGGAGCCACCAGACGCCGGAAGAGGCTAGGAAGGGTCCTCTGCTCGAGCCCGTGGAGGGAGTGAAGACCTGCCTACACCTTGATCGCAGAATTCTGGGCTCCAGGACTGTGAGGGAATACATTCCTGTTGCTTGAAGCCCCCAAGTTTATGGTTACTTGTTAAGGCAGCCCTGGGAAACTAACATATGGAGTAAGCTTAATTTCAGGAAAAGCTGAAAGGTATACAAAATGATAGCAGAGTACACAATCTACCTCAAAATTGAACATTTTTATGTATGTGTATTATTTTAATTACATATAAAAATTAACTTTAAAAGAATAAATGACAGGAAAAATTTTTCAACATATATGACAAACATTGTCTAGTGTTAATAAAAACTAAATCAGTATTTGTTTTATGTTAAATCAAATCATTAAAAAGTAAGACAACACAAAAGAAAAATTATAGCCTGGCTGGCGTGGCTCAGTGGTTGAGCATCAGCCTATGAACCAGGAGGTTACGGTTTGATTCTGGGTCAGGGCACATACCCAGGTTTCAAGGGGGAGGGTAGGGGTGCAGGAGGCAGCCCATCAGTGATTCTCATCATTGATATTTCTATCTCTGTGGTACAGCTATATAATGGAATATGGCAATGGCTTATCTCTACAGGGTGGTGCAAGGCCAGGAGTACTAATTAATTGAAGGAAAAGTAGAAGTAAAATATATTAGCCACCCATAATCTCAGCAGAAAGACAATCGCTGTTAACACATAGGTATAGTTCCTTCCAGTCTTTCTTCCAGTCTTTTTTCAAATGTCTATGTATACTGGTATATCGTTTTTTTTAAGGAGTTGAAGTCATTCTGCTAAATCCATTCAGAAGGTTTATGATCTAGTTTTAGTTTGGATTTTTTTACCCGCAAAGAAAGTATCTCCATATAAAACATCGGTGATACCAAAAACAGATTATAGAGGGGCCAGTTGCTATGGGAATGATTGAAAATAAATTTCATTTCACACTGCACCCTGCTAAAGTACTGACCAGAAGGAAGAAGAAATATTTGGAGTAACTTAGACAAGCAGCCAAGAAAAGTTCAAATCAAGAAGAAGGAAAATACATCAGTCTAGTGAGGTTTCAAAGAGGCCAGAGCATCTCCCTGCAATTTAACTAATTACCTCCTTCCAGCAACCATACAGATGGAGGGGGAAGCACCCAGGAATCAGATAAGATTCTCGCTCTTTCACGGACAGTTTGATGGCCAAGCGGCAGCAGATCTCCCTCAGGATGTGGCTTGTCTCTACACAGGAGTGCAAGGCCAGGAAAAACAACCGCCCCTTCCCTCCCCTGGCGATGCTCCAAATACTGAGCAAACTGCCAGGCCAGGCTCCGTTTGGACACTGCATTGGCCCTCGGCCTTGGAGTGGGTCTTGGGGCCCCTCTGTATGTGCTGAGTCATGGGGACTCTGGAGGCCCTGGGGGAGGGACGAGGATGCCAGGTAGGGGCACTCAGGGAGCTCCAGGCAGTGACTATTTTCCAAAAGAAGAATTTTAATGTATGAAGAGGTGATACGGCCAGAACAGTGCGTCGCACCAACTAAACTCTGACCTTTATTCAACCAACATTTTTATGAACGACAAGCCTGTATAGAATACACGTCAGGAGCAGCCTGAGGGGGGAAAGCAGAGCTGCTATCATAAAAAGACAGCCGGTAGTATGAAGACAGGCCCCGCTTCCCACTCAGGGGATGGCTCAGCTTTAGAACCCCATAGATCTGGTTCATTCCCAGCTCTGCCATGCATTACCATCTTATCTAATAAAGATGGGATATGCAAATTGACCGCCGTGCCATAACGGTCAAGATGGTTGCGCCCACAGCAGAGGCAGGGATTCTGTAACACAAGATGGCTGCGCCCACAGTGGAGGCCGAGTTCCCGTAATGAGCCTTAACAAGCAATCAGCAGGGACCCGAGGCTGCGTGGTGCTGGGCCAGGACAGGGGACCTGAGGCTGCACCCCCCTCCTGGTGGGGCTTGACAGGGGACCTCAGGCCACGCCTCCCACCCTGGCACTGGGCCAGAGGACCTGAGGCCACACCCCCCGCCTGGTGGGGCTTGACAGGGGACCTCAGGCCATGCCTCCTGCCCTGATGCAGGGCCAGGGGACCTGAGGCCGCAACCCCACCTAGCGGGGTTTGACAGGGGTGGGGCTGGCCAGGTCTGGATCTAGCCCAAATGGGGGTGGGGGGGTGGGGGGCATGGCCGGCCGGGTCTGGGTCTCGTGTGATTTCGAGGCACACATGGGTGGGCGGGGACTTGCCTCTGGTTCCCATGGCGTGTCCCAGACTCTGACAAGAGGGAGATTTTCATATACATTTTACTAATTTTCTTTCATCTCTGACACTTCTATTATAGAGAAAGGGCAAATAGCAACATTAAAATATTTCCTCTAATTAATTCCCTTTTAATGTGCACAAATTTCGTGCACCAGGTCACTAGTGAATTTTATCATCTCTGAGCTCTGACTTCCTCATCTGTAAAATGGGTATAACTGTTCCCTCATGAGGTTGTGGGAAGAATTACATTTGAGATGCTAACAAAAGGCCTGGCACATAACTGCTCAGTCAATTGCAGCTGCCATCACCACCACCATTGGAGGCGATTGTGCTGTGGACCAGTTTTTCTTTTTCTCTTTCTTTCCCTTTTCCTTTTTTAACACAGCTGGTGGCCCTATCTCCCTTTCCTGTTCATATTCCAATGCAGGTACCTAGTCACTACTACCATATACAGACAGCGTCCCCAGAGTGTGAACTATCAGGCAGTTAACCCTCTCTGCTGCATCCTGGGAAGAGCTTTGCACTCTGGACAAAAAGACTTTTGCTGCCAAACCAACTCAAATCACAACATTACAAAGTTATGGACAGTCGGGGTAAGACCTTCTCACTCAAAGCATAAGGGTTGAGGATTAGAGTTGCCAACCTGAGGAAACCCAGGTTAGAGCAGTGATCCATTGATTTTCAGTACCTGACACCATTTCAGAGTATTCCTGCCTGTTTATTTTCTGTCTTTAAACTTAGTTAATAGATTTGTATATTTACTTTGAAAAAAATTTTAAGAAACAAAATTATAGATAATCAAACCTATATCTGCCTCCATCTCCCAAAAATGACAATTAACATTTTTATGTTTGCATCAAGTCCCTTTAAATAATTTTTTAAGTATGACAGATTAAAAAAAAAGTTAGTCCATTTTCTTCCCTATGTCCAGCTCTATTTCTTGCCCACTCCCTTAATCACCATTATGAATTTGATGTTTATCTATCCAGCTCAATGTTATCGTCTTACCTAAATTTTCTGGTTTCTTATAATAGAAAGAAAATAAAAAGAAACATGGAAAATGTTCTAAGTGAAAATGCCTATGTGAGGAGGGCCTTTCTGAAGCTACACTAAGTGTAGCCTCTGCACCAAGACATACCTACTCACCTGCCCGGAACAGCATACACTGGTAGGTAGAGCATAGGGGGGGTGAACTTCAAGAAAGCAGTGCAGATGCTGTAAGGCCAGCGTCTAACCTCCCAAGCTTACCTGGGTCCAGGTGTGTGAAAGAGCCCACCACGAAGTCCAGGGTGGACACGGCCAGCAGCAGCAGCAGCAGCAGCTGCAGGCGGATGATCCATTTGACACCTGCTAGGTTAATGCCCAGCAAGGCCAGAAGCACCGCAACTGAAATGCCTCGCACGGCCCAGATGTTCCTGAGGCTCAGCAAATCTGAGATGGATTCAGCGAAGCCGGTGATGTACATGGCACCTGCAACACACTGACAGGCAGTTCTAGGTAGGAAGAGTCAGCTGGAGAGGGAAGCATCCGGAGCCACGGGCCAGCGCTGCCCGGCCCTAAGGAGCCGCTCACTCCGTCAGCATGGGACATGGGATCCAGCACGGAGCTGAACGAGCCCTCCCACCCAGGAACCCTGCCTCAGCCCCATTTCTTCCCATCACCTCTCTACCATCATCCAGAGGGGAGGATGAATACCCACCCAAGCCTAGAGCAGAGGTCGGCAAACTCATTAGTCAACAGAGCCAAATATCAACAGTACAACGACTGAAATTTCTTTTGAGAGCCAAATTTTTTAAACTTAAACTATATAGGTAGGTACATTGTTATTAACTTAATTAGGGTACTCCTAAGCTGGCCTTTGCTAAAAACGTCCTCAATCTGAGGGGTACCCCCACTTCTTCTAAAGCCACTTCTTCAAAATAGACTCGCCCAGGCCGAAAACCGACTTCTGCGCATGGGCCACGAAGTCTCAATCGCATTGTACGTGCGCGCCCGCACGTGGTATTTTGTGGAAGAGCCACACTCAAGGGGCCAAAGAGCCGCATGTGGCTCGCGAGCCGTGGTTTGCTGACCACTGGCCTAGAGCTAGCGGATGGCCAGTGCGAACTCACATGAACAGATCAGGGGAAGCGGGTGGGATTCTGGGCCCAGAGTCTTTGGGTTTCTCTGTCTGAGTTATTCAGGAACTAATCAGAGACCAAAAACACACAGTGGGTGCCATCTCAGAGCCTGGGAGGGCACAGAAGCAAACCCCAGTTTTTTCTCCATTTCTTTGTAGTCACTATTATTTTTAAAAAGTATCTAAAACTTGGAAATAAGAAAAAACGTAAGCCGCACATCTTTTCAATGTCACATCGAATAAAGGCTACCCAAGGACCACCTCGGTGAATGTATTTAGTTCTACTCACTGTTTGCTATTGATTAAATATATTAAATGTCCCAGAATTAGTGGTTACATGTTAACGTATAGATTTTTTCCCCCACCAGAGATGCAAATAACTTCTGCCCAGTGGGACAGATAACCCAAAAGATTAGGGTTTGCTGTTCTGTAAGACACTAATCCGTCTTGTGTCTAACCCAGCAATCTTACCCTTACATTTATTTATGAAGTTGCCTAACTGTTAATTTATGGACTTGGTCTGTATCTATCTAGGACCCATACCTAGCATCTCAACTGCTCTTTAGCATCTTACTGGCTCCTCCATTAACTGAGTTAGATAAAATCTTTCATACATGTTTACTTTATATTTTCCTGAGTCATGATTTTACCTTTTAAAAAAGATTTAAAACACGATCTTAAGTAAATATTTGAAAATAACACCGGCCTCACTTTCCATAATTCCTCAGCCTCCTTTTCTCGTCAGCTTCATCCCTCACAAGCCCCCAGGCGGCGGGTCACCACAGCTCTGCTCAGCTGATCTCAGAGGGAACGCATTCTACTCGGGCCTCCATTGGGTTCCTCCTCTTCCACGAAGCCTTTTACGTACCCCCTTTTTCTGAATAAATATGATGCTGACTACCGGTGCCATGCAGTTAATTCTCTGGCCATATTCTGTTATTTAGTGCATATAAGTTTTCTCCTCTGCCACCACCAAGAATGCAAACATCTTAAAAAACAAATATGCTGATTGCACCTCTTAAAACCCCCTGCATTTGCTAAGTACGTTGCAAGCATTCAATAAACACTTTGTAATATGTTTACTTTATGAAAAGTACCTTGGAAAGCAGGAGCCGTTAATACAATTTCTGCATGTGAGGGGAGCTCACAGAGGCCCCGCTGTTCACTGAGATTGGTTCACTAGATGTACCAACGTTGTCAGTCTTCCCCAAATTTATATTAGGCATTTCCATTTATATTTGGGTAAAGTGGGAGGGAGCCCATTTGGGTAAAGGGGGAGGGAGCCCAGTAAATGTGGGGGAAATGCAATCATCTCTGAGAGGGAGACAGATGAAATGTGATGATAGATAGATAGATAGATAGATAGATAGATAGATATAGATCTTTGTTTCCTGCATTCACCTCAGAACTCAAACTTACTCTTGACTAAATACCAAGAGTGTGATGAGGATAATGGTGCTAGTTCATCAGTATTTGGGCAGGTCAACAGGACTCTTCATGGTCAGTTGTGTCAGAGATTTAAAAACAATTGATAACAATGTGGTCATGATGATCATCTGTGTGGGCATCTCTTTCCCGGGCATCTGTTGTCTCTGACATACAGAGGAGGACGCCCCAACTTGAACGTGACCATTTGCATCTGGAGCTTCCAAACCTAGTGCTTCCTGTTCCAGCTGGAGAACAACATGTGCTCACAGGAAGTAGCCACGCAGTAAACACTGCCCTCTCACAGGTTCGCACCTAAAATCACTGTGTAGCCCCAAGAGGCCAGTAACAGAAAAAAGAAAAAGCTCTTGAGGATGCGTGAGAGAGCATGGTGGTTAGGAGCACAGACCATGGAGCCAGACTATCTAAGGCCAAATCTTGGGACTTCATAAAAGGAAATATGAAATTAATGAAACAGAGGGGAAATAACAAAAAAAAGGACACAGTGAACATACGCTGATCTTTTAAAAGATGAATAAAAACAAGAATGAGAAAAGGAATAAACCTACTCTTACAGAAGAGAGTTTAAAAATGAAGGCAAGGTGCCCTGGCCAGTGGCTCAGTTGGTTGGAGCATCGTCCCCACGCACGGAAAGGTTGCCGGTTCAATTCCCAGTCAGAGCACATACACAGGTTGTAGGTTGGGTCCCCAGTTCTTACAAGAGGCAACTGATCAATGTTTCTCACATCAGTGTTTCACTCTCTTTCCTTCTCCCTTTCTCTTTCTCTAAAATCAATTTAAAATATTTAAAAAATATATTTTATTGATTTTTTTTTTACAGAGAGGAAGGGAGAGGGATAGAGAGTTAGAAACATTGATCAGCTGCCTCCTGCACACCCCCCACTGGGGATGTGCCCCCAACCAAGGTACATGCCTTGACCAGAATCGAACCTGGGACCTTTTAGTCCACAGGCTGATGCTCTATCCACTGAGCCAAACCAGTTAGGGCTAAAATATTTTTTAAAAAAGAACGAAGACAATATGAACATGCCAGGCATGATGGTACATTCACATTATGCAATACTAAGTCACTAGTTTAAAAGCACAGACTCAACATGGCCTGGTGGGATGTCCATGACTTAGTAAGTAAGAAATACAGGCAGGGAACAGGGCATGAAATCTGTCCGCATTTCCATAAAAGCATCAGTACTTCAAAAGTCCATCCACGTGTGTAGATGAGCAGGGGGAAGGTGCTCTGCCAGGACACGAGGCGGTCACATGGCTACCTCGGGAGTGTGAGGGGAAACTCATGTGTTCTTTACTTTATCTCCACTGTGTTAACTGGTTACAAGGAATATAATTCTGTAATTTTTAAAATAATTTTACGAAGGAAAAATAAAAACAAACATATAAGAGCACTGTTCTGTTTATGCAACAACTACATCTGGGTACATACAACAGTGCATCCACGTGGAGAACAGCAGCCCAGGACCCAGGTTCCCTGTACCCAGCTCCCGCCAGCAAAACCCAGGCTGGCCTGAGCTCCGCCTCCCCCAAGAGGGGAGTGGACAGGGACCACTAGCCCCTCCCCAGAGCGATCCAGCCACCCCGAGGCAGTGCACCTTCCAACCATGACGACTCCTCTTCGTTGGAAAACATCCCGTTGGTTTGTTTAATGGATAAACACCCCCGAGTTTATCATATTTTTAAAGTATTTTTATCTCCTCTTAAAGTTTATCATCACAGGCATTCCTTCTCCCTGTTCCTTCTCCACAGAGAAACTTCTAGCCCTCTGGCACAGGAATCAGGGGGTGCCACCTCCCATTTTAAAGGGAGAGAGTGACCTACTTTCAGGGTGTAAGACTCCCTTCCAATGTATTTTGTTTAGAAAAACTGTACCTCCACAATCACAGACATTTTCTTGTCTTTGAGAACCGACCTAGAGGACCAGGGCTGCCCCTCCACAGGCCTCCCCTTCCGACACAAAATCCCTGGTTCAAGCTTCGCGTTGGCTGACCCTATGGGCCCACAGTGAAAACCTCAGGCTTTTGTCAGGTCTTCTCTCGTACTCCCTGCTTTCGCACGGGGTCCAGCACAGAGCATGGGAGTCACTAACAGAAGCTTTTAGACATAACGGTACAGGCTGAAGCTGGACATTTTGGGTGTGGGGTAAGCAGCCCCAAAGAAGCCCCCAGGTCCACAAAGGTGAGTGGGGCAGGGAGTGAGGAGGGGCTTCCGTTCACCGTCTCATCCATGGCCAAGGGGTCTGGTCCACACAGCAGGCCTGCCATCCACGTCTCAGAGGGACGAGGGGGAAGGGCTTGGGAGGTGCAGAGCAATGAAAAATGTTTGCAACTTTAAAAAATAATTATTTGAAGTATTTATATCTTCTACATTTTGATGTTCTAGGGCAAGCATATCAAACTCGCAGCCCGCCGGTCACATGCGGCCCACAACGAATATTTTTGTGGCCCAGCCAATATAACGGTATGTAAGAAACGTTTTAATAAATACTTTGTAACTTAATTTTTACAATATCCTGTTATACATAACTAGAGACCCAATGCACAAAATTCATGCAAGGGGCTCAGCCCCCGCCGCCACAGCTGCTGCCTCTGCCTCAGTCCCCAACCACCGTGGTAGCCACCTCCTCTGCCTGCCCCCCAACCCCCCTCCACGGCAGCTGCCTCAGCCCTTGCAGCCCCGGCTTTGTCTGGGAAGTCATCCAGAAGGATGCCCAGAAGGACATCCAGTCTAATTAGCATATTACTAATAATAATAATAATTAGTTTTTATTATTATAGACTAGTGGCCCGGTACACAAAATTCATGCGGGGGCAGGGGGGGGAGTGTTGTCCCTCAGCCCAGCCTGCACCCTCTCCAATCTGGGACCCCTCAGGGGATACCTGACTGCTGGTTTAGGCCCGATCCCTTTA